CGCCTGCAAGACATGGCTCTGCATCCTATGCGGCCCCGAATTCCTCCACCACTACCGCACCTTCCCGGGCACCCTCTCTCCTCATTCTCCTCCAAATGCTCGAGGTCCTCCAAGGAATTCCACCCAAAACAATTTCTTCATGCCTCTTGTTTCTCATCACAGTCAATACCAATTTTTCAGTACTTCCATATTTCCTAATCACCTCTTCCACCTTAGCATTGCAGTCAAAAAGAGCAAACGCTTGCCAACCCTCCACCTTCAGCTTTCACATAGTACATGGAATTGAACATGCCATACCCTTCTTCTCATCGGTGACAACAATTCCAAAAACCTAATATCATATCGACACATAGATGATTGCACAAAGTCCACACCATCATACTGAATGTTTAGTTCGGACATATCAGAATTAACCCTACATTCACAACATAGCAATAGTTCAACCTAAATCCACAATCTATAGGTCCTAAACTCCTAATTAGGAAGAACTCAAAAAATCCTAGAACAACCATACCCAAAATTTTAGGGCTTGGGAAGGAGAGAACTTCCCTAACGTCAGACAAGTAGTGGCTCACCTGGTCCTCGGTGGAGTTGTTGGTTGCCCTCACGCAAACCTTGTGCACTCGGCAAGGTGAGGCAGGTGATACTGACAATGATGGGTGCAGGCCATCCCCCGAAGCCACTCTGCATCCAGCATAGGGCCCGGACAACTCTCGAACCAGAAGAAATTTCGATTACCTCCACTACCGCGAGCGTCGCCGGCCCCACCAACTCCGGTCACCATGGCTCCGTCTCTTGCATGGGAGAGAATGAGAGGGAGCGGGTTGGCTGGGGTGGGGGTGATAAGTGAAACAACCAAACGCACGTCTTCCCCGCACTGTCTATTGATGCCACATAGACCCGACAGGTGGGCTCGAGCAATCAGTAAACATGTTAAAATAAGCAAATTCTACGGTCAATGCAATTTATTGCGCACCGACCGAAAAAAAGATGTTGGTTCCTTGAATCCCTAGCCCCAGTGTGGTGGTTGTCTGAAATTTACTCCAACTCCAAGTTGTACGTAAGAAACATACAAGAGTATTACTCCCTCCGGTCAACTTCACATAGTCTTTGATTCATATCTTTGATCACTATTTTCTTCTTTAACTTGAATCCTTCGAAAAAATTATGAGTACATGTTTTTATTTCTCTTGGAGGTAAGTAAAAGTATATGATGATGTGCTGCAAAGGCGGGAGTAATCCTTCTTTTCGAAGAAAAAAAAGCACGGTGAGACAACTTAGGGCATGTACAATGGTGCTATTTTAGGAGTGTCATGTAGGATAAATAATAAGGTGAAGGAGAAAGAACTCATAAGAAAAGGTTTGTCTTCTCTTATTTAAAATAAGACAATAGATGATCTCTTAGCATAATTTGTCTCACCATATTTTAGGAAATTGCTAGTTATTAAAGATAAAGCTAAGATATAACTCATTATATACATACTTTTTTATCATCTTTAAATTATATACAAAACTTAAAATAATACTGTCTTAACAACCATTGTACGTGCCCTCCTACGCTCAAACCGGTTCTGGTCGAACCCAGCCGAGTAGAAAGACGACTGTGCGGCTGCGCCTGCGCCTGCGCCTGACTCACTCCGCTCCGACTCTCCTCCCCCAATCCCCACCCAAAACCCTCGCTTCCACTTCGCTCCGCCGTCCACGAGCGCACCATGGCGCCGTCACTCCCGCCTCCGCCGCTGATCGAAGACGTCACCGACGAGATCCTCCTCCGCCTCCCGCCGGACGAGCCCGAGCACCTCTTCCGCGCCGCCCTCGTCTGCAAGACGTGGCTCCGCACCCTCTGCGACCCTGGCTTCCTCCGCCGCTACCGCACCTTCCACGGCACCCCTCCCCTCCTCGGCCTCCTCCACAGGCTCCAGGTCCTCGAAGGACCCCCCGCGCGTCGCTTCGCCTCTACCACATCGGTGCCGGACTTCCCCCACCCGAGCTCCGGCGACCCCTGGGAGCGCGCCCTCGACTGCCGCCACGGCCGCGTCCTCATCTATATGAGGACGGACGACAATGCGGACTACCTCGTCTGGGATCCCGTCACGGGCGAGCGCCACGGCGTGCCCTCGCCGGACATCGATTGGCTCATCGAGTCTGCGGTGGTGCTCTGTGCCGCCGACGGCTGCGACCACCTCGACTGCCACGGCGGCCCCTTCCGCGTGGTCTTCGCGGCCACCCACGACTACAAAGATACCATATTTGCGAGCGTCTACTCATCAGAGACGGGTGTGTGGAGCGTGCCAGTGTGTCTTGACAAGAGCTGTGAAGTCTTTGCCCAGCATATGCGAGAGGGGCTTGCAGACAGACCATACTACACGCCCTATCTCCAGCCTAGGCGAGGCACCCTTGTTGGAGATGCAGTCTACTTCACAGTTCGGTGGGGTAATCCAATCGTCAAGTATGACTTGGGCAAGAATTGCTTATCCATGATTGACCCACCGGCAGAGGACGTCTACTACGTTTCCCTCATGGTGATGGAGAACAGTTCACTGGGCTTTGCCTGCACTCGGGATTCCAGCCTTCGTATGTGGTCAAGGAAGGTGGATACAGAAGAAGCTGCTGACTGGGTACAATACAGGGTCATTGAGCTGGAGAAAACAATTCCTGTTGCCAATCCTGATGACATACCAGTTGTGGTCGGCTTTGCGGAGGGTGTCAGTGTCATCTTCATTAGCACATGTATTGGCTTATTTATGATCAAGCTCAAGTCAGGGTTGGTTAGGAAGGTTGGCGAGTCTGGGGTCTACTTTAGCGTCCTACCCTACATGAGCTTCTACACTCCAGGTATGAATGATACTGGTCCTTGCCTGTCTCTGGGCATGCATTTTCTTTACAGCTTCTGTATGTTTGCTTACATAGTTTGACACTGGTTCTTCCACACTTATCTGTACAATTTTGTGTATGCTAGTGAAAAATGAATATGTGGCATGGGGAAACAGAATGTAATTTTGCTTTCACATTCTAGTTGCTAAGGGCCATGATATGCATCAGTCCTATTGATAAATGCACATGCAAACTTCATGGTCTTGTATTATCCTGCAACCTTGCTTCAGATTTTCTTTTTATAACATAAAATTAAAATTCTTCTGTCTTCTAGCATAGCTGTCGCACACATATCAGGCTCAGTCTTGTAACCTTCGGAATTAGTACTAGCACATACCTCACCAAAGTGGAATGCTGAGTTGAACTGTTGGTTATTAGTTTTGTGTATGTTATCTTTTCAGATCATGGCACATTGTTATCGTTATCACTAACTGATCTCTGAGTATTTTGTTTTATGTTGAGCGGTTTACATACAGATAGTGCAAGTCATTATAATCGATTGTGTGTGTTTCTTTGTCGAAATTATCCTGGTTGTGTTGAAAAGTTTTCAATGTGTCAGGCATATCGCAGTTAATGTTTGGATAGTGCTTGGTTTGGCTACTTGGAACTAAATTTTAGTGTAGTCTATGTTGTTTCTCTTTACTTGAATATGATATTGAGTGTTGGTCTCGTCTTCAAAAGGGCTAAGTAGCATTGTCAGACGTTTTGGACTTGCAATTGGAGATACAGGGATCCAAACTGTTATTTAGTCTCACCATAAAACATTTATCTTCTGTAAATCAACTGAAGAACCAATTTAATTTTTTTTTTTGAGGGAAAGGCCTCCATGGCTAGCTTTATTAAATTTAAACAACGTAGATGTGAGTATACTGGCGTGTAACTCAGATGTTTTACTCCTGTACTGCAAACATTGGAAAGTATTAGCCTAGCAGCAAGTTCATGCTTCACCTTCTGTATAAAACATTTTCTTTAGACTAAACTGAAGAACCGATTTTAGTTTAACAGGCGTGTAACTCAGATGTTTTACTCTTGTACTGCAAACATTGGAAAGTATTGTCAAGGACTCAAGGTTATGCTGTCCTAAAATAAAATGCACCGCTCATAAAATTGTTTTCTTCTTTTCGCTAGAGCCGTTTATTGGTCAAGTAGAGGGTGAAGCATGAACTTACTGCTAGGCTAAAATGGAGATTGCTAAATAATTTAAATAAACATGTTGATATCATATTGTCCTGTTGCCTTGGTCTAGATTTTCTTGAAAAACTGTATGTTACTTTCTGGCATAGCTGAAGTTGATGTCTGAAATCCATTCCTGTAATCTTTTGAACAAAGAACAAGTACATGGCACAGCGAATTTTTAATTCTTAAGTTGCTTATGCGTTTTGTGCTTGGTATGTTTACAGATCGTGGCAGATTGTTGTCGCTGGCAAGGACTAACTGATCGCCGATGTGCCGCGCAGCAGTGGTGCAAGGCATAATGGACAAATCCATCGTCTGGAGTGTGCTGCTGTTGCCTTGTTTTTGGAGCTACTACTATCAAGTTGGTCTGTTTTCTTTAGCAGTTTAAGCATGATGATTGCAAGTTGGTTGTTCTTGTTCAATTCATCATGATCATGCGGCCGGTCAGGCCAGAGACTTGTGTTTCAGTTTAATATGTTGCCTTCTTATCTGTTGAGCAGTTTTAAGTAGGAGCGGTGCAAGTCATCATGTTCAATTGTGTCTGAGCTGCGAATTGTCCTGCTTACATCGATCACAAACTGTATTTCTGTTGGATATGTCGGGCTGGCATATTTGAGTTCTTGCTTGGTTAAATGGTTGAGTCAGCCACATGAAACTAAACTTATGTGGGCTTCCAATTTCTGAAAAAAAAGGAAGGGTCATTCAGTGTTGCTCTTTTGCCTTGAAGAATGCTGTCTCCTGTGGGAATGTTATGCTGTTGTAAGAAGCAGCCCTGTTTTCTCGTGTGGTTTTATAATTATTATTATGGGCCCAAGTGGCCCGAACCTAGATGTGGGACGACGTAGGGCTAAGGTTGGAGGTTTTGATTCTTGGTGTCAAGGGAAAATATTTATTTGGCACTAAAAGCACCATATAGTGGCATATTTAAAAGCAATGAGAGAACATATTTTCTTCCATTTTCTGTGACGACTGTTTGTAAGGGAAGTGTGAAAGCAGAAATTTTCCCAGCGATGTTGCGAGCCCGAACTCCTGCCGATTTCCAGGTTTGAGCATGTGTGGCCAATGATCCCTTTCAGAAGTTCATATTACGAGCGTTCACATGAAACTCCTTTTGCACATGAGTTTTTGACATAGCTTACAAAAACGTCTTACATTGTGGGACGAAGTGAGTAGTTTTTATAGAGATACAACAACTATTAGGGTTGCTCCTTTGGTTTTTGGATGCAGTGCTTGAGGAGTCACGGTTTTTCACGTTTTCAGTTACACATCTAAACTGCATATGGATTACCCCCTCTTTAAACAGTGGTCCGGAATACATTGAAATGTGGTCTGGGTTATACCACCATGATGAGCTCCGATGATTTTTTGTTCACTGGAGTAGAAAGTCAGCCATTTTTGTCATACGTTATCACATTATTGTTGCCACACTTGCCTAACATGAGATGTTTAAATTCTTAAGCAAACTTCGACTTGCCTTAGAGAACCTTGACATACTCTTATGTGTACAACATGTGGGACTCATTGCTTACAAAAAGATTTTTACCTTGGGTGTGGCTAAAACCAAACACCCATTTAACTTGGTCAAACTTGTCTAATTTAAGGTGAGGCAAATTGTGGCAAGATGAGGCTAGGAACCAAACAACCCCAGGATGTTATACTTGCTAATGATCCACCACATGGAGAATTGATGCATTTTGCGCGCCGGTTGTTAGAATTTTTTGTTTTAAAATTCTTCCCTGGTGTTCTTTGAACTGTACTAGTGTCCTCGCCCTTGGATGCCATGACCTCAACCGACGTAGCATCGACATTGATGATCCAGATCCAAAACAAAACTGATGGCATGCTTAAAAAATCTGATGTTAGATTTTTAATAGTCTGCCAGATATAGTCTACTAGATTATGGTGACGTGACCCATTCCAGACTAATGTGGTAGTCGCCTTCGGCCTTCAGGACGTGACCCGTTCCAATTCCAGACTAGTGTATTCTATTTTCCACTAATCTGAGCAGTAATAAAGCACCAAATTTTATAAAGTCCTCATATGCAACTTGAGGCAAACATGTATTAATACTACTCCCTCTGTTTATTTTTATAATTCATTAAATGAGTTACTTTGTACCTTGTCTGAAAATGTCTTCTAAGACGTTATAAAAGTGAACATAGGGAGTAGTTAACTTCACCTTCTAAATTTGATGGGATGCATGTTAAAAAAAACTTAGGATGCAAGAATAAAGGTCCGGTTGTTTTTGTCTCTTCGCGATAGAAAAGAAATTTACAGCTACCCATTTTTTTTAGGGGTACGCGGCGCACATTTTGTTATCTTAAATAAATAGCAATGAATAGTACTCCCTCCATTCTGAATTATTTGTCGCAGATATGGATGTATCTAGGTGTATTTTAGTTCTAGATGCATCCATTTCTGCGACCAGTAATTTGGAACGGAGGGAGTATTAATCAAGAGAATAATTCGGTTTAACCTCCCGTGCAATGTTCCAACTCCCAAACCAACGGGTACCCATCCCACACAATGACACAAGTCCACACTTCCGGGACTAGTACAACATTTTTCTACTATGGTTCTTTGTTCTCCTTGCAGCAAATCACTTTGCAAATTCTTCAAAGATGGGTTCATACTCTCTGCCCTCATATATTTAGTTTTTTTTCCTCATCATCTATCACTCTTGTATTATTATTATTAAGATGATTATGTTTATAGTATGCTAAATTGCTAACAAATGAGTGAGGCTTTTTGGCACTCAGGCTCCACATTTTAAAAGATTCAAAAATAAAAACTTAAGGTAAAAAAGGCTGAAAATAAATACACAGATATTTGTAGATGTGGTTACAATTTCATTATGAAATAGTATATTTTTTATGAGCTGTACAAAAAAAATCATGTACAGTACTTTATAGTGAGCGTACACTAGCGTTTAAAAAAGAACATACCCATGTGTGTGCCAAATCTTGTTGCACGCGTGTGTGTGCCAAATCTTGTTGCACGCGTGTGTTCTTTACACTATATAAAATGAGTGAGGCTTTTGCGCAAAAACGAATATAAATGAGTGAGGCTCTGGTTAATGACAGAATTCTTTGCGCGCACAGGTGGTTAGTGCGTGCTATCCCTCACCTGCAAGTCTCCGGTTCGATTACCCACTTGAGCTATATTTTATCCTTCTCTTTCTTTCTTTCTTCTATTCACTGACAGGTGGGTCCTGCGTGGGGGTGGAGAGCTGACCGGTCAACGTAGAGAAAATACGAAGCTGTACGTTTAGGCGGTGACCGTATAATCATCAAGATGAGTATATAATGACCGTATTGACTAAGTTCTTTAGTACAGGGATCTAAGTGAACCAGCAAGATAAGTACAGTGACCACCAGTAAAGGGGAGATGGATTAAAAACCTTGTGTGAAGGAAAGGCTGTCAAAGTCGTTGACCATTAATCCGGTTGAAGGACAAATGGACAGTGAATCAACCGAATTGAGTTGTTCTAAGGATTCGGATTCGGCAGTCGAGACATCTATATCTATGGAATTTCAAAAGAGAGAAAAGGATCCGAATCCGACCCGAGGACGAGCTCAAACCAAGGGCTAGGGGGATATGGGCCAAGAAAGGTCCGATGTATCGGTCAGCTATACCTAATCCTTCACTCAAAAACGCATCACACCCTTTGTAGGTTCAAGCCGAAGTCAAGCATGATCACCTACTGCAAACTCCAAATATCGTGGTCGGCGTACCTGGTCCTGAACTGCTTTTAATCTAGAATAAGTGGAATTTTTACTCTTTTTAAAACTTCGACTAGTAAGCGTGCACGTGCAACGCACGTATCGTTAAGAAGTTATGATTTGATTTATCCTAACCTTTCATACTAAACGGATAAAAACATCTATAATTGGACTGGGAAAATATGACCCACCCCCTGTATGTCAGCTGACACATCCGAACAATGTCTGGACGTGTCCACTTTGAACCTCATTTGTCTACCCATGCGGTCAGGTCTTCCAAATTATGGATCACATGCATATTATTGGTTGGGATGGAGAGATAATAAAGAAAGAAAAACTCGGTCTGACGTGAGCCGCGTCTGATGTAGCAGACTGCCTGAACAACCTCATTTCTTCTCCATATATGGAATGAGTTTGAGGGACAGCCGACCTTTTTCTACTTTCTTGGGTCCTGGCAAGGGGCACAAAGTGGGGGAGGGGTGGGCCCTGGGTGCTCTAAGTGCGGCAGTTTGCTCCCTGCATCCTCCGACACCACCCCAGAATAATACACCCTCGTGTCCTCCGACCTCGCTCACCCTTCAGTGAACCGAAAATTTATAAACAACGTGCCATTCTTGGAATATTTTGTCTTTTGATGGAAACAACAATCTATTGATCATCATTAAAAGAGTGTATGATGTTAGTTACAAACAGCTAACTAACAAGATCAGGGTATTCACCTAAATTCTTACCAACACTGTTAGTTCATGCACAAATGTATTGCTCTTTTTGCCTCACACACAACTTCTTTTAAAATAAAACCAGGTAGCCAAGTCTTCAGATGGTTAATCTCTTCGTAGACGTTCCCGATGCGACATATTGAGAACGTCTTGGCCTATATGAATTACCTTTTGCCAACAACTTCAAAACCACAATTCTCTGATTTGAAACCACAATCTCCCATGCTTTGGTCTTCTCAAGCAGTATAATGGTACTTGCTACCAAGTGAAACATACAAATAGCTATGAAATATCAAGATGTCCCATAAGATTACTAATAACAGAGAGATTGTTTGCATATAGATCACTGGATTTCTACTAACAAATAATGGCTGAAACTTTACTTTAAAATGCAATGCTTGAATGTAGCAAAAACTCGTTTCCTTATTTTCCGAGAACATACAAGAGAACTGCGTGTATATAAATTTATTAAGAAGAGAATAATACATCAATATAATGAAGGCCGACAAGAGCAACGATGCCACTAAGTTCAAACAACCATGAAACAAAGGAAGACACGACCTGAAACTACACATTGTTGTTTCTTCAGCAAAATATTTTTCTATGAAAAAATCAAGCTATAACTTATAGGTAGCACAACATAACTTTCCATATATTTCAAGTTTTGTCAGACCTCAGACTGATACCTAGGGAGAGGCACTTCAGGAGTCCCATAAACTAACTTCAATATGCTCCTTCTCTCTTACCAACACAAGGTTTAAGCTCAATTCACTCCAAAGAGAAAAGTGAACTATAAACTTTAGGCCAAAATATACATGCAAATGTTTCTCATATAAACTGGAATTATGTGCACCGTGAGCAGAAAACTTCATATTGAAGCTGACCTTATGTTTCTATAGAGAAGAGGCACGTAAAAAAAAGATACATCAACATGCATCTAACAATGAGGAAACCACTTGCATCACGTTTCTGTTGACAAAAATTTCAAATGTACAAAGTCGAACACTGATATTACAATCATTTTTAAACTTTCACCATTAGTTATACAAACCAAATGTGTGTCTGTTATTTTCCACAAAGAGCATTACAAGCATCAAAAATTTGACAAGCATGGGCTGAAGTGTTATAACTTGAAGTAAATAAAAATAATGGTGATGTAAAGATTTGTTCTATGCCCTCAAGAACTTATTTTCTGAAGCAGACAATAGATGACTCCTAAAAAAATCTGATTACCTTTTACCTGAGTTTCCATTTTTTTATCAATAGTAAGATGTTTTAAATCTTGTAGTCTCAACTAATGCTGGTTTCAGGATGTGATATGAACCGTTAATGAAGCTGCAACAATATGGAGTAAAATAGATCTACTGGTTTCAGTCAAGCTAAACCTAAAAAAGGAAGGCCAATTATTTACCAGAGTTACAAATTCAGCGTGACGCCTTACTTTGCCGTTGGCTTGGAGGCCTCCCATCCCATCCTTGTTTATTCCTTATTCCACCCCTCTTTGTTTCCTTGAGCTCCTCCCCTTGCCCTTTTCCTCTTCATCATCCTGCAGCAAAGCAACAGAGTTGAGATGCATCCAACTTTCACAAATAACAAAGTAACTTTGGAACTTCATATACTATTTCTTCTTTCAATGTAGTAGAGTCCAACCTTCTGCAAATAGAGTCGGGCATAATTACTTTCTTCATATAGTTAGGTTTGCATAATTACTTTCTTCCTTGTAGTAGAGTCGGGGATCTTAAGATCGAACACCTGCAAGTTTCAGTGATGAGGTAACGGAAAATAGTTAATTATAATAGTATCGCTTTTTATGGGGATTATAACCGTATTGTTGCAAGCAGGAGTGTTGGACTAATTGAAGTTTCAGTCAACGGATTTATACATATATTATTCAGCCCATGTATTGGTAATAGCATTAGACTTCATATACCAAGTATGCATCAGCTTTGTTGACTTGTCAGTCCATTCATTTACTATCCAACCGAACAACGAAGGATCCATCAACTTCAAAGTTCAGGAACTAAGGATCCATCTAGTTCAAGATTACATGGTTGATGGACTCACATGCATGTGATCTCAAAACAAAAAGAATTGATGATTTGGCAGGTTATACTTTACATCTAGTCAACAGCAAGACAAATCGCGCCATGAAAAAATTGACAAGTAGGCACGAAGGAATTAAAAATATGTTTTTATTGCTAAAGTAAGGAGATGACATTTGGAAGTTTGATTGCTCAAATAACAACGATTAACCTTGAAAAAATAGAGCAAACAGAAATGCTAACAGAAGAAGCAGGTGTACTGGAATATTAAGATCATGATTCTAACTGACTGATCCAACTGATCTAGCACTATGCGTTTCATCTCGACGTAGGACATATTTGTTTTCCTTGTTGGTCAACTTCAAATACGTCCATGATCCTGTACACGTAGATGTTCTCTTCATCCCTCTTATCAGCCCTCAGAACCTGCCACCAGTCGCCTAGACAATAAAAAACATAAAAAGTTAATTATTTATGTATATTAGCAAGCTATACAATTTGGGATGGATTTGCATTGTCCATACTGTAATATTTAGTAGCATCCAAATAGTTTGCCTGCTCTTTGGTGAAGCACAGAGCCACTACATTAAAGAGTTCATGTGTTGTTATTTCAGAGAATGTATTATATAATGCAACATCATGCTTCCTGTAATCTGAGAATTACCATAATTATCACATTGTAATATGAAAAACACTGAGATCACGGGTTGTGGTTACTATATTTAGGCCAAAAAAAGTGACTTGTATGGAAGGATACTCGCCTACTATTGTGCCATACAAAAAGGTGAAAGGGGGAAATATTACTTCACATCATCCGTGTATACAGGAAATCATCAGACATTATACGCTTGCGTCATGAACTCTTGCTCTAAAAAAATATGAAGGCACCTGCCAAATCGCCATGCACCATGCAGAAATTAGTAAATTCAAGAGTAGCACTGCCCATAACAAAAGCAGATATAGATTAGTAATCAAACTCTCAGGCTGGTTCAACATATACATACAGCAAACCTGGATGACGCGGTGGCATTTGGTGAGTGGTGACACAGAGGATGTTGGCAACTCTGAGATGGAGGGGATCAGGGAGCAATTACTCGTCAGTCGTCGTCGCCTATCGGCATGACCATCCACGGTCAATATTTGAGTATATGCTCATCCGTATCCGGACATACGTGAGAAACTCTCGGACTCGCGGAAAGAAGTACTCCCTCCGTCCGAAAATACTTGTCCTCAAAATGGATAGAATGGATGTATCTATAACTAAAATAAGTCTAGATACAACCATTTTGAGGACAAGTATTTCCGGATGGAGGGAGTAGCAGCGTAGGTCGCCGCCGCAGCGGGTGGAGGAGCACTCAGATTGCTGCACGGCGAAGTCGGCGAAGGAAGCGTGGCTGGCGAGGATCTGGTCGTGGAGCACGGCAAGGTCGGCGAAGGATGCGCGGCCGGCGAGGATCTGGTCGCGGCGCACAGCGGCATCAGCGTGCGTGGTGGCGGAGATGACCCGGGACCCCTTGTATGACGCCTACACCGTCGCCTCACCCGCCGCTGCCCATCTCTTCGTTTCACCAATTGGCTCCGTTCACTCGAGCCAGCAGAGGAGCGGCGGCAGGCGGCGGGCTGGCAATGACAATTTTGGGAAGACTGGATCGGGAGTCAACAGGCTCCTGGCACTGGCGATCCCGCGGACGGGTGACACATTGATATGGCAGGGTCCTGGGTGTTCTGTCGCATCGCCTCCTTGCTGTGGTGATCTCGCGGGCGGATGCCACGCTGCTCGCGATGGCGATGGTGATCGTGCGAGGTCGCGCTGTTGGTGAGCGGCGTCGAGGTTAAGGGCGAGGGGAGCTGATTTCGTTCTAGTTTCCTTAGTTTGCGATGAGAACTGCGTGATTGTAGGGGACGGACGCGGGGCCGGTTGTTGCACATTTCTCTTCTCGTGGGTGGATGGTGAAGGTGGAGTACGGTCAGTCATTGGAATTTGCCAAGTCCACACCATAAATCTACCAGATAAACGATGGCTGTTAGATTGAGACACGTAGGACTGATTGTGTGATGATGATTGGTTTGTGCGTTTTGTGGGACTAATTGTTGGGTGCACGTAAGAAAATTTTTGCGTGGTGGCGGAGATGACCCGGGACCCCTTGTATGACGCCCGCACCGTCGCCTCACCCGCCGCCGCCCATCTCTTCGTTCCACCAATTGGCTCCGTTCACTCGAGCCAGCAGAGGAGCGGCGGCAGGCGGCGGGCTGGCAATGACAATTTTGGGAAGACTGGATCGGGAGTCAACAGGCTCCTGGCATTGGCGATCCCGCGGACGGGTGACACGCTGATATGGCAGGGTCCTGGGTGTTCTGTCGCATCGCCTCCCTGCTGTGGTGATCTCGCGGACGGATGCCACGCTGCTCGCGATGGCGATGGTGATCGTGCGAGGTCGTGCTGTTGGTGAGCGGCGTCGAGGTTAAGGGCGAGGGGAGCTGATTTCGTTCTAGTTTCCTTAGTTTGCGATGAGAACTGCGTGATTGTAGGGAACGGACACAGGGCCAGTTGTTGCACATTTCTCTTCTTGTGGATGGATGGTGGAGGTGGAGTACGGTGAGTCATTGGAATTTGCCAAGTCCACACCATAAATCTACCAGATAAACGATGGCTGTTAGATTGAGACACGTAGGACTGATTGTGTGGTGATGATTGGTTTATGCGTTTTATGGGACTAATTGTTAGGTGCACGTAAGAAATTTTTTGTTTAATTGTTTAATAGTAGTGGAGAGATTAGAAGGGTTGGGGGAGCGAGGCAGCGTGACCCAGCACAGCTCAATCTGGTTGAACCCAACCGACTAGGAGAGGTCGTGTGGTGCGCCGGTCTCCCTCCGTCGCGCACCAACCCGAAACCCCACCAAACCCTCGCACCCGCCGCCGACCACCGATGGCGCCGCTGATCGACGACGTCACCGCCGAGATCCTCCTCCGCCTGCCGCCGGACGAGCCCGAGCACCTCTTCCGCGCCGCGCTCGTCTGCAAGCCCTGGCTCCGCGTTCTCCGCGACCCCGGCTTCCGCCGCCGGTACCGCACCTTCCACGGCACCCCTCCGCTTCTGGGCCTCCTCCACAGGCTCCAGGTCATCCAAGGAGACCCCGCGCCCCGGCTCGCCCCCACCACATCGGCGCCCCTCTCTCCCTACCCCGACTGCGACCGCTCGCGGGCGCTTGACTGCCGGCATGGCCGCGTCCTTCTCCACGTGTGGGTCAGGGGCAGGGGTTGGCATTTCACCGTCTGGGACCCCGTCACCGGCGACCAGCAGAGCCTCCCGGAGCCCGGCATCCCGTGGCTGATCTACACCGCCGCCGTGTTCTGCCCTGTGGCCGGCTGCGGCCACCTTGACTGCCACGGCGGCCCCTTCGGGTTGTCTTTGTGGCCACCGACGACTACGACGAGCTAGTCAAGGCGGCAGTGTACTCATCAGGGACAGCTGCGTGGAGCACGCCAGTGACACTCGACGACGGCTGTGAATCCTATGTTCGGCACAGGCGAGATGTTCTTGCTGCTGATGGATCATTCTACTATATCCCCTATGTCGAGCCTAGGCGGGGTGTCGTTATTGGAGATGAAACCTACTTCGCGCTTCGTGAGGGTAACGCAATCATCAAATATGACTGGGCCAAGAATTGCATATCCATGGTTGATCCACCGGACCCGAATGTGTACGACGACGTTGCCCTCATGGCGATGGAGGACGGTTCACTGGGGTTTCCCTGCCTTGAGAATTCCAGCCTTTGTCTGTTCTCAAGGAAGGTGAATGCAGAAGGAGATGCAGAATGGATGCGCTGCAGGGCCATCAAGCTGGAGAAAGTTATACCTGTAGCCAATCCTGATGAGGAACCAGTCGTTGTCGGATGTGCAGAGGGTGTGGGTGTCATATTCGTGAGCACAGATGTTGGCTTGTTCACAATCAAGCTAAATTCTGGGCTGGTTAAGAAGGTCGCGGAGTCTGGGAAGTACTTCAGCGTCTTACCCTACATGGGCTTCTACACTCCAGGTATGCCTTTGCTTCTTGTCTGTTGCCCTGCGTTTTTTCTTTACAGCCTCAGTATGTTTGCTTGATTAGTTCGTTATGGTCTGTGGACAATTAATCATAATGCAAGTAATGTTTGATAGTTAGATCAATGTATATAGCTTGCTATACACTGTTCTGTATGTGCTACTTTAAACTGAGTGATATGGCATTGGAAAACAGAGAACATGATTTTGTTATGAGAATTAACTTGTTATAAGGAGCACAACCAAGCACTAGTGGAATTGCTAAATGTGCTCAGAAACCTATTGATCTAGTATTACCCTGTTACCTTGCTTCAGATTTTTTTTTTAAGAAAACAGTTTGATCTCGTATTTTACTGTTATTTTGTTTCAGATATTCTTTCCAGAATTAGTCTATTATTTTCTGGCATGTCTGAAGCTCACATGTGGAGCTTATTTTTGTAAAGCCTTGGCGTTAGTACTTCTATATAGCAAATCAAACTGTAAATGCTGAGTTTGAATGTTAGTTTTGATTATTGTTTTTGCATAATATGTTTTCAGACCGTGGTAGATTTTCATCGCTAGCGAGGCTCACTGATGTCTGATGTGCTGCTCAAAAGCAAGAATGCATGACTTCACGAAATGTATGAAGCCGCCATCATAAATCAACTGCTGTTGGCTTCTTGCAGAGCTACTCCTATCAAAATCTTTTATTTTCTGTTGAGTAGTTGAAGCACGACTGGTGCAAGTCATCATGATCAACTGTGGATGCAAATCTTGTCTTATCTGGGCCATTCGATCGGTCCAAAATTCATCTAAAATGGACTAATTCAGATTCAAAGTGGCATTCTTTTTTTTTTAAGAGGGGTTTCCCTCCTGCCCCGTTTCATTATAAAACGAAGCCAACAACAATTCTAGTGCTCGGGTTGAACCCAGAGTAGCCGAACGGACTAAGGCCATGTTCAAATTATTACAAAACCAACCGAATCAAAACTAGCCTAAAGCTACAAGCCAAACATCGCAGATTTTTCATTCTTTGCTCAACCAGTTGGTGTTGGCTACGAGCAATCGGACGTCAGTGCTCATCAGCCGTGCCCAGTGGAAGGGTCAAACCCATGCGATCCTCGGGAGCTCTCCACGACGATGATCGAGTAGACGAAGGGAGTGCAACATCAATGCTGATCTGCCGAATCGCAATTGAAGTTCTTTCACACATACCTTGGAAAGTCTCCCTGGAGATGAATCAGCAGCTCAACGCCCCGTTTTATGAGCAGGAGGTAAAAGATGTTTTATTTTAGATGTTTCCAACAAAAGCCCGTGGCCGGATTGACTGCCTGCACATTTTCTTCAGAAGAAACGAAATCTTTGTCGCGAAGAGGTGACTGGTATGGTTTTGCGGATTCTCAATGGAGAGGACTCCATGGAATAGTTAAACAGAACATTCATCATTATTATCCCTAAGGTAGCAAAATTGACACTTTTGTCTCAGTTTCGACCAATAAGCTTGTGGGATGTGATATATAAAATTGTCTCGAAGGTACTTGCTAATTGGCTGAAACTTATTCTATCAGAGTAATTGTCTGAAGCTTATTCTATCGGAGATTATTTTTGTCGAAAAACTGATTTCGTGCCAGGAAGACTCGCTACTAACAATGTGATCACGACATATGAATGCCTGCATTACATGAAAATTGGAAGGGGAAAGAAGAATACTTGTTGTGCTCTAAAGCTCGATATGATGAAGACCTAGTATCAGATGGAGGTTATGCTCAAGCTTGGTTTTAATGCTACTCCCTCCGTCACGGTTTAGAAGGCATAGTTAAATTTACGTGCGTTTCCACAATAGACAAGGTTTAGGGCGCATTGCATTTATTTCTAGTAGCTAATTAGTACTCCGATATACTATTTCTATATGCATGCATAGTGTGAATGTTATTTTTTAACCCATCTCATAACCAATAGATAACCACCTGGGTCCCAGAGAATTTTCAAACGCGTCTTCTAAACCGTGACGGAGGTAGTAGTTGGTTTGAAAGGGTAATGAAGTGTGTTGTCTCGGTGTCCTTCTCAGTTATCTTTAATGGAGACAAGCTAGAAGTATTTAAACCAACTAGAGGTATCCGACAAGGTGACTCTATCTCACTCTACTTGTATTTGCTAGCGGCTGAAGAACTTTCACGCTTGATAAAAGGGCCGGGGGACAAAAATGATGTAGCATGTATAAAAGTGGTACCTACGACACCATGTGTTAATCATTTATTATTTGCAGATGATAGCATTACATTTTTCAAAGCAAATGAGGCATAGGCTCAGCCCGACGGCCTGGTGGGCGGTGGTGGTGGGAGGTGTGGGCGCCGCGCAGCAGGAGGGCGTGACGGCATAAAAGGTGGCCGGCGCAGACGAAAACCCCCACTCGGCTCGCGTCGGCGGCGGGTCTCCTCCTCTCACATGGTGAGGGGTCCGACTAGTGCGGCGCGTTGGCCCTGGACAAAGGGCTCCGCCGGCGTCGGGGCGGACGCTAGGGTGGCGGCGCCGGACCTCCTCCTCTCCGGCGGCTCAAGGTGGCGGCGCCATGACGCGAATTTGGATCGGGGCGCGGCTCGGCTGGTGGCGGCGTGCCTTGTCGTGTTCGTCGGGGCGGCAGCGTACTGCTGCGCATAGTGCACGTGGACAGTGGCCAAGGAGGCGGCCTAGCCCTGCTCAGTGGGGGTGCCGGCCGCCCCTACCTTGACGCTCGGCTGGTGGGGGTGGCGGCGCTTCTGTGGCGGATCTGGCCGGCGTGTTGGCCGGGTTCTAACCGGATCTGATGCTGGTCGATGGTGGGCGGCATGGATGGGCTTACTGGTGATCAGTCTTGGCGGTGGGCGGTGGTCTTTGGCCCCCTTGCCAGTGGATGGGCGTTCCTTGGTGGCCTTGCGTGGATCTGCATCGATCGCTGCAGTGGGGCGACACACGTGGTGTTCGGTGGGGAGGTTGGGTGGAGGGTAAGTGGCGTCGACGCTAGGGCTGCCTGTCGTCAGCACGGGGTTGTGTCGGCCGTGGATGCGTCTGCTCCACCTCCTCCCCTTTTCCCCGTCCTTTTGTGCGCGGATGCAGCTCCGACGATGTTCAAGGCGGGACATGGGTTGCAGTTTCGTCGGGCGGCGGCGTTTCTTTGGACCAAAGCCGATCACTTTTCCTTTGGACCAAAGCCGATCACTTTGGCTGGTCGTGGGGATGTTTGAATGTAGGACGACGACCTTGATGGCGGGAGGTGTGGCATTCATGGGCGGAGCGTGCGTCTCATGTGCGGGCGGGGCAGCCATGGCTACGCGAGTGGCTTGGTTGCGGGTGGTTGCAGAGTTAGGGTGTGAGGGAGAGGTGTGAGCGCCGGGATACATCACTTGCCCAGTCCTTGTACTGATCGACGGTAGCGGCATCCGTTGATCGCAGCATTCCCACTCCTTTCATCTTGCTTCTAGTGAAAACTTGATCTACGGGATCGGGCAGTGGCTGCTATCCATGATCGTACCCTTTTGGAAGGCATCGTTTTGGAGTCCTGACTTCACCGTTGTCCGTCTCACCTCTCCGTTGTGGATTGTTCATGATGGTGATCTTCGTCGGCTCCAAGCGGCCTTCTTTACACATTTGTAGTTTGCTTGGTAGTCGGTGGGATGGTGTGACGGTGCGCGACACCTTTCTATCTTGTCTTGAGTGTGTTGTGTGCAATACTGGCATGTCTTTGTGGACAAAATTACTGTTCTGACCTATGTGGTTAACAAAATCCCGATTTGACCTTGGTTTTAAAAAAAATATCGATTTTGACTTGTTTGGGTGACGCCAACATCCCTGGCTTCTGGGTTGCGAACCAGACGCCAGGAACCCTGGCGTCTGGCCCCTGGCCCGCACTGCCTGCCTGCCCGTTGACCTGCTGACGTGGCAAAGGGGCCAGACGCCAAGGACCCTGGCATCTGGCCCTGGTAAGTGGATAACGGCGCGGGCCAGTCCAGTGACGTGTATGCACCTGGTAGCCGCGCCGCCAGAGCTAATAGACGGCGTTATCTCCAGAACGATGAGGACATGGAGGAGGAGGTCCATGAAGAGGAGCCAACACATCATGAGGAGCATGAGTATGATGCAACACATCAAGAGGATCATGAGTATGATGTTGATGCTCCACAACCATCACAGGTTACACAACCGACACAAGCCAATGCTCGCTCTAGGAAAGGCAAAGCCATAGCTAAGACACCAGGCAAGGAAGGTAGAAAGAAGACATGGAACACACAATTCCATAGTCCGGAGTATCCTCATCAGCTTATCCCAACAGGAATGCAAAGATATAAGGCCAACATTGAGGCGGAGGAGGAGGCATACAACGAAGAGGAGGAGGAGGCTAGCGAAGAGGAGGAGCCTACACTTGCAACCCTCGTGAAGAGAGCAACGAGGAAGTGAGCTTCTTGTTTGGAAGTGCATGAACTAGGTGGCGTTTGTATGCATGAACTTGGTGTTGTGGTAAAAACTATTAAGGTTGTCTTGAATTTGGTGTCTTATGTATGCACTTGGTGTCTTATGTATGCATGAATTTGTCGTGATGAAAAATCTATGAACTTGTTGTCGTTTGTATGCAAGAATTTGTCGTGGTGAAAGTTCTGTGAAATGTGCTATCTTCTGTGTTGTATGAACCTGTCATATGAATATATATATATATGTGCTATCTTCTTGTGTCAAACAACAAGTTCAAAATAATGTACAGGGTCCCAGACGCTAGGGTCCTTGGCGTCTGGTTTCAAGTCAAGGGACCAGACGCCACGGTCTCTGCCGTCTGGTGGTCGACTGGAAGCAAAAGCAGAGTCCTGGACAGCAGAAACAGGGCCGCCAGATGCCAGGGTCCATGGCGTCTGGCCCTGGTGTAGTACTTTTTTCATTTTATTCATATTTTGTCAAAGCATAGTATCAAATGACATAGATATTTTGTTCTAGCAAACACCCCATAGTATCGAATGACAAACATTAGTGTTCACATAATAGCAAATGACAAACATAGTTATCACATAATCTTAAATTACACAAATAGTCTCGAATGAGAAGTTCATCACATACAATGTCTCGAATGACATAACTAGTTCATGACCACGATGGTCCACGATAGTTGAAAC